AGATAGATCGTTGAATATACTTTCATAATAAATTTATTTGGAGATATAAATATTGCACGTATTTTCTATAAACCTAATCAAAATTGAGAAAGTTTGACCAACACGATTCCCGTAACAACTCTATTTTTAAAACAGGAGTAGTATGCAGCAGCTAGCAGCATCCGATCCATTTACTGGGTGTTTGCCGTGTTGCGGCATACGTCTATATATATATATATATATATATATATATATATATATGCTCACGAGCTGCTGCTGTAACTATTTTGCCTCGTTTTGTGCTAGCAAGCATACGCGGCGTACGTGGCCCTTGGTAGATATAAAAAAAAAACATACCCAGTGCAGTACGTGGCCCTTCGTAACTTAAAAAAAAGACGTACCCAATATAGAGAGCTCCTGTCTTGTGTGGGGTCTAGGAAAAAGTGTTAGTGACAAGCCTTATCCTCGTCTGTGCAATGCGAGGAGACTACGACTCAAACATGGAACCTTTCGGCCACAGAAGGTAAGACTCTACCGCTTGCACCAAGCCCGCTCTTCCCCTTCATAACTTTTCAATTCAAAAAAAAGATGTTGGGCCGGCCTGGACTGGACCATCATCCCTTGTGTACGCTGTCTGCTGGTGAACTATTGATTGTTGCCATTTTGCCAATGCTATTGGATAATAACTTTGTATTGCATTGCATTTAATGAGAGCTAAGAATGTGCCGAATCCTATATCCAGTCAATCAAGAGAGTGAAAATTAAAAGATTGCATATCACTAAGGATTCCAATTGTTATCACTTAACTAATGAAGATGTTCTTGGAGATAGTACTAGTGCTTGGGAAGCCTGCTTTCAGGAACCAAAAAATAGAAGGTTTTCAATCAAGGGAAAAGGAAGAGAAGAGGAAAAAAGTCACAAAAAAAAGAAAAAAAAAAGCATATGCAGCTTTCCAAGGGAACCAAGTGTCAAAATATCACACTAACCTCCACGGGGAAATTTTGGGCAAAAGATATTTTCATCTAGCCCACAACCGACAGTTCCCCAAGCAAGCAGTGAAGAAGACACGCTAGCAGTAAATGAAATGTCACACCCAATTTTAAGGATAAAATTAAATGCATAAAACTCATATGTGGCCAGAGATCAGTCGCACACATAAGTTGACAAAATACAAAAAAGTATCATCACGGTGTTTCTTACATCACGATTAATACCATCACAGTCTTACACAACACATCAGAAAATAAAATAAAGTAGCTCTCTCGCGGTAGCTCCAACACAGGGACGGTCAACTGGTTGACCACAAGCCTAAAAGTCCTCTGGAAACTCGTCATACTCGTTGACATTTGTTGTCCATCCGAGATTTTTATCCAAATATTGAAAGTAAACAAGCGTAAGTACGTCCCGTACTTAACAAGATAACATGGGGTTATGAAAGCTCAAAAAAGGTGACTCTAGTTTACTGCGGTTAGCACTTTTAGTAAGTCAAGATTTTATCATCAACTATTATCAAGTTATGCTTAAGCCCCAATTAAACCCACATGATCAGATATCAGAATCAATTGAATCATATTATCATTGTAGAACATCATAAATGAACAACAAATAGTAATCATTTATTCTGTGAGTTTTCTGGGCCGCTCGTGACCGTGAGCACGGCTGTTATAACAGATTGTAACACTCTGCAGAGGTTGTGCACTTTCACCGTGAGTCGTGATTCCCATATGCCCGGGTTAATTACTCCCATAACACTGCCAAAGTGAGTGGGCGGGGTACACTATGAAGTCATTTCATAGGTTTCTCTAACAAGTTAGGGCCGCTAGGTTTCCTCGGCAGACAGATGCAGGAACCCCCCCTTTCCTATGGCACAAATCCTTCGCGGCTATACACATAAAAACAGGGGCAGTCCTATACCCAACGTGGCAAGCCCCTTTTGCGTCATAAAGGTAACCTCTAACAAGCTAGAAAAGGTCATATTACTGAGCTAAAGTCAGAGCCATGTGACCCTCACGGTTGCACTGTCAGTCCCAGCTTTTGTCGACAGATAAGTCCTTATGGAGGGCCGAGAGCATCATGATCAAAAGTCATTTGCTCCTTCGCCCTATAATTCAGTTGTTTAAAAGCAGCTTTTACCTTTTCTTTCCATAGATCATGTACAGTTACGTTGAGCGCTAGCATATACCCATATGCATATAACCCGTAGGAGACAAGGAAAATAGGATATTCAACCACTAGAAAGTCCTTACGGGTATCAAAATTAGACACATGTAAATAAGTAATTAATAAATGGTGAATAGGACATCAAGGTAGATCCCATGCTATACTTGCCTTGGTTAACAAACTCCTGCTGGTCCTCTTGGTCGTCAAAGAACTCTTGGTCTCCAACATTCTTCTCACCGTCTGAACTCGACCAACAAAGCAACATACAAGCATTCCAAAGGCATTCATGCAAAGCAAACAAACCTATAGTTAGAACAATACACCAGCAGTATAGAAAACAGGATAAAATGTTTATGAAAAGAATCTATGTCTCACTACGATCACGTCAACGCGAAGTTCACGAAAATCAGAGCTAAAACGCGAAAGTTATGATTTAAACAAGATTTCCTATAGCAAATTAATTAAGTAAACCTAACTATGAAATTTAAAAATTGCAAACATGGTTAACAGTTGTATTAACACGTAGATTATGCGATTCTGAAACTAACGCAAGTGGAATGGGTCAAATCGGAGTTAAAAGCGAAGTTTTATGAGCAAAACAAATCCAGTGGCATTTCTGTAATTAGAATGAACTATTTTCGGATTTAAAATAAATGAAAAGGATATTCAGATTTAATCGACTGAGGGACGGCAGGCATAAATTGCCGAAAAAACTAAGGGACTCTTAAGCAACTTTGCCACGGCGAAGGGGTATCGGCCACCCTGGGCCGTTGATCAAGCGATGGACGGCTCAGATCAGAGCTGAGGGGGAGAGAGAGAAGGCCGGCGGCCAGAACAAGGCTCTGGCAGGCGGGGCACCATGGCTGGCGACGAGGAACTCGCCAGCGCACTCGGTTCAGGGTCTACGGGCCACAGTGCACCGGGGGAGAGAGGAGGTGCACGCGACCTCGCCTAGGCCGAGAACACGGTCAGAGGACGCGGCCGACGCGGTGGTCACCATGGCCGACGGCGTGAAGGTCCATGGCGCTCGCGGATTGGGCCCTGGAGGCCATGAAACACGAAATTAAAGGCACGAGGAGAAGTAGGGGAGCACGGCGAATCTCACCACGGTGAAAATCGGAGACGGCGGCGGCTCGGGGGCGGCGAACGCGCGGAGGGCCAGACGGGCGGACCTCGGCGCAAATGAGTTGCGACTTCCCGTGCGCACTGCGTAACGCGAGTGGAGGGGGGGAGGCAGCGAGGGGCGGCGGCAGGCTCGGCTCCTTTATAAAGGCCGGCGCGGGAGAAGACGCTCCACGGCCGAGGCGAAGCGTGGCAACAAGCGGTTATGGCTTGACCACGCCAGCGATGCGAGAGTGGGAGAGGCAGAGCGACACAAGCGGGCCCAAAGTCGGCGACAAAGAAGGAGAGGAGGGAGGGCTGGCGGTTGCCCGCCCGAGTGGGCCTGCCCAGGAAGAAAAAATGAGACGGAGGAGAGAAAAGAAGAGAAGGAGGCGAAGCGGGCCGTGGGGGAGACATGGGCAAACAGGCCAAAAAATGAGGAAGGGAGGGAGGAAAATAATTTTCTTTTCTTTTTTCCAAATCAAATTTCCAAATTCATTTCCAAATGATTTTTGAATTTTTTAGCTTGAGTCAAAACCACTCAACATATTAAATAAAATGCTGCAGCATGAGTGCATCAACATGTATCTATCCTTATGATTGATTTTAATTTCACAAAAATTATTATTTTCGTATATTTGAATGCACCCATAATTACATAAATAAATCAAATTTAACTATTTTAAAAGAATGCAAATTTTAGGGTGTTACATGAAACTATAGGGACTCAGTAAACACAAACAGAGAACAATTGAAGGCGGGGAAATGGATCAGTCAGAAGCTGCAGAGAAAATGGGCCACGAAGCAGCGGGGCCGTGGCAGCAGCACCGAAACAAGCCCACGAGAACCCATACACACACGGACAGAAACACAAGCTGACTGTCAACTCGTCGCCTGTTCACCATAACCACCCCCATCAATCAGAGTTCAGATGCTCGACACGCGTACTGACGATGACCAGAGGATGCAGCTGAGAAATGCACGCAGGTGTACTGACGATGAACACAGGATGCAACACGCAAATGAAGAGTGTATAGCACCAGGCACCCCAGTTCAGCAATGTTAGGTCTAAAACATTGGAACTGATCGAACAGTGCAGGACGTCAAGCCATTTATGAAGGTTGGTACATGAATAAAAACCTACACACAAGGGCTCAATAACAGTGGCGCTAACGACAGACTCAACAGATTTGGACGGCATTCATGTTCCCTCTTGGGACGAACAATCGTAATATTGTCCACGTGATCTGATAATATCAACCTTATCAATCAAGCAGTAAACCCCAGGACCAGGAAGGCCCATATACGTAATAGTATCATCCTGTTTATCAGGAATGACAAAAAGGTAGTAAGAGATACCCAATGTTTGTGGTCACTCTGGGCTTGGAAGGCTGCAACTCATATATTCACAGTAATAATGTTACAAGTAACCAACCGAGGTTACTATTTTACACAAGGTGTACAAACATGTCCACGCCTGCAAGATGCAAGGAACTGCTCTACAAAAAATACAATTCAGCGAGTGCGATACTGAACCGATCAAACCAAGCTTCAATGCGCTTGTGCATGATAGCGACCCGTGACAACCAAGATCTGAAACAACTGCCGACTGGCAGCTTCGTTGGAGTTCATGGGATTTGGCAGAATTTAAGGATCCCACTGCGTGATGGGTTGTCCGTCCTGAGGGGGTAGACGACCAATATCTTGCTGCTTGCTAATGGAGTGTGGAGACCACAGAGCGACTGTTCACTGTTAATCATTCACGCGATGCTTCTAGCTAGTTGCTCAAATCTCTGGGTAATGACTTGCTGGTTTCTGCCCGTGTATATGCCAAGCAAGGACTGCAGGGCAGAGGAGAGCATAACTTTCTGAGTCACGTTTGGGCTGAAACCATCCTCATCATTTATGGCCTCCGTTGGCAAGGGCTGGTGCTCATTATTGAATGATGTGCATAATGATTTCAGCCAGTCTTCTAGAAACGACGCTTTCTGCTCAGGTCAGGTGGCAGATGAGTTAGCTTGGGTAATAGGCCAATAGATCCATCAGACTACTAGAGAACAGTTGCAGCAGTCAATATTACATATTTAGACCATAGAAGAATTTGCAGTACACAGCAAATCTACATGGAGCAGGAAGCACCTTACATTACTTTTCTATTCCTGCACGGATTATGGAGTGTTCCGTTTATGCATATGTTACAAAAGCTACAGTACACTGATATACCTGTACATCTAAGTGATTCGGACACATTAGGCGCACCTTACAAACCACTAGTCATCAGACCAAGACAAAATATAGAATAGTATTTATTCTGTTTGTTGTTTAGCAAGTATTGCAATGGTATTATCATCATATGCTTTCATTTCCAGGACATATAATATTATTTATTTCTGTTTGTTGTTTAGCAAGTATTGCAATGGCATTATCATCATGTGCTTTCATTTCCAGGACTTAATAATAGTAAACAGACTCAAGTACTCAACTTATGTGCTCTATGCTTGATGCAGAGCCCATAAACTTATCTGCAATATCATTTTACCTGAGTGACAATTGCCACTAAGAATATTGTTCCATATGAGACTTATAAATAAAATAAAACACACACTAATATACATGGTATAAAGGAGAAATCCTTACCTTTGTAAGAAAATCTTTCAGGCTTGGATCATCATTTGGTGACACAAAACTAAGCAAATGAAGAGCAGTAAATGCAAGCTGTAAAAAAGAATAGAGCAAGAGCTTCAACAATGCTGCCCGAATAAGTAAGTCACTATATGAGCATCAATGACACTAACCTGCTTCTCAAGGTTGTCTTTCTGTTTGAAATTTGAAGGTAATGATGAATTGTTTGAATTCAATGACTCGAGAGCATGCACAAGGCCTCGAACAACATCTGGAAATGAGCTACGTAATCTGTAAAGAAGAGAGAGGATAAGCTCCAGCAGCTTGATGGATGTAGTGGTGGGATGTGCACAGTCAAGAATCAGGAAACTGCTATTACTAATGTCCAATAAAGGCGATTTGAGTTTTGGAATGTTAATGATCGAGGCACAAGTTTTACAGTACATATACGTGGGTAGATACAGAATCTCAAAATTGTGGGAACAACGCTTCAAGTCCAGGAATGTCATGGTATTTCCAAAATGTGGAAAGCCAATACATTAAAAGGTGGAGAATAGAAGTCAGGGGACTAACCAAGCCTTGACACTGGAACTGCTAGAGCAACAGCTGCATGCATCTTTATCTTATAATTGTTGGAGTCACGGATTAGAAGTAGAAGTATGCTATAAACACTAGATGCCCTGTTAAACAGAATAATTGAAGATCAGAATCATCAAATATTAATAAGTTTCAAGCATATACCAAGATATTACCATGATTGACAGGTTTTGCAAATAAGACAAACATGAACAGGTAAGAAACTATGTGAAATCTAAATGCCTATGAAGTGATAGTCATAAGTGTGAATCACAGGTAGTCAATCAAAAGATTCTGCTGCGTGGTATCAGTTACACCCAGTGTTTTCTGCTGTGACTTGCGCGCTCGTGCCATAGGCAACTAGGGACCCATTAGTGCTATAGGCCATAATATGGAAAATGAGAATTTTTAGAGAAAGCAACCCTGAGGCATGGCTTGCTCCTGCGTGGCAAATTTGGGTGCAAACCAAAAAAAAAACCCTAGTCGTCTGAAGCAATTGGATGAACAAAGTTTTACTCTGTGCACAAATGCGTACCAAGGCATGTCTTGAAGTCTCAAGGTATCATTCATGAACAAGTTGCTAAGGGCATGGCAAACATTCCATTGGACCTATACAAAAGACATGTCAAAGTGCAGCCAGTTATTCACCTCAAGAATCTTAACATTCCACAATGAATTCTACCATCCCATAAATTAGATAAAGATATATACTTTTTTTGCTAAATGTATAACAACCTATATTTTTCACTTCTTTATGGCAAAATAATACATGTGATAAAGGGGAGAGAAATCCTTCACTTCCCATTTAATGAGGTATTCCTCCTAAGGATGATAACAAGGAGGCAAAGTTGCATATTCTTTTCTCTAGACTTAAAACACAAGAAAATGACTCAGAAATTAGGCTAGTGCTTAAACTGTTAAGTAAAACTATTTCTTGTAGTACCTTTACATTCCCAGTTGTCACACAAGACACCAAAGCCTGCACCATTCTTTGAGCCACACGGATCTCCATAAAAACTGAATCACTGTTACTAAAATCTTAAAATTGTGAGCTGGAGTAACCAGCAATAAGAATAGTGATTGATCCATACAGAATGTTCTGCTACCTTGGGTCATTTATTGTGGCAGCCTGGTAATTGAATCTGATAAATCTTGAAAGATAACCAAGAGCTCTAACAGCGTTTGATTTTACCTGAATGAAAATCAAAACAACTCTTTTCCACGCATACAAGCAGCTTTGATTAGTTTACTTGTTTCACAGCTTTGATTAGTTTACTTGTTTCACAATGAACATCGATCTCCAATTATCTCTGTATTCCTTGTGGCTAAAACTGACAATCTGGTATGGATGCTGCCGAACAAACATAAACAAAATACATAAATTGGCTAAATAAATCTTACTTTTTCACTATCTTTGGCCAGGACTTAAAGCAACTTCAACCAAAAAGAGATATGCTTGATTTGTTCAGTACACCTACACTTGACAAAAGATAATAAATGCATAAGCATGCTTTATTGGCATATACACTGGCACTGTAACCATCAAAATGAAATATGTAACACCCAAAAATTTTCATTCTTTTAAAATAAGTAAATTTGATTCAATTATATTATTAAGTGTGCATTCAAATACAGGAAATTAATAATTTTGGGAAATTAAAATCAAAACATAAGGTTAGCAACTTCTTGATGCATACATGCTGCTGCATATTTATTTTGTGATGATTGGTCTTGATTCAAAGTTCAAATGAATTCAAAATCTATTTGAAAGTGCTTTTGGAAATCTATTTGGAAAAAGAAAAAGGCAAAATCCTTCTCATTCCCTCCTTCCTCATTTTCGCCCGCAGGCCTTTTCTCCTTGACCGCCTTGCGCCTTCTTTTTTTCCCTCCTCCCATTTTTTCCTTCTGGGCGGCCCAAACAACTGTCGCCATGTGAGCCCATCACCACTGTGAGCAACCGCGCGCCTTCCTTCTTCCCTCTCTCTGCCGACAACCGGCCCGCTTGTCAGAGCCGCCCATATTTGCCCAAGAACCACCGCCGCTCCCTTGGCTCAACCATTGCGCGCCTCCCTTCCTTCTCCCTTACCGACGGCCGGGTCCACCAATCAGCGCCACATTACTCCTCGCGCCCCGCGCCCGGTCAAGACGGTCAGTCCGCAACCGCCGCTCCGCGCCCACGTCTCGCGCCGTCGTGGGAGCGTCCCCCGCGACCCCCGCGCCAGCAGCGTCCTCCGGCCCCGTTCTCGGCCTGGCCGAGGTCGCGTGCACGTCCTCTTTCTCCCGGTGCTCTCGGATTCGCAAACCGAGGCTCGTGAAATAGAATTACCCGCTTCGCGGCGAGGTCCTTGCCACCGTCCGAGCAGCACCCGCCGCCATGGCCGCACTTAAGCCACCACATTCTTCTCTCTCCCCGAGATCTAATCTGATCCGTGATTGCTTGATCAATTGGTCACCGTAACCGATACCCCCTTGGCGTGTCGGTTTTGCTAATGAGTCCACGAGCTTTCTATATCCTAACCCGCAGTCCATAGCGCATTTCCTGATCACGCTTTCTCCTTTTGATAACGTAAAGTAAACTGTTTTAGTCCAAAATACATTTTCAGTATTTACAGAAATGCCACTAGATTTGTTTTGCTCATAAAAACTTCGTTTTAGCTCCGAATCGACCCGTTCAACTTGCGTTAGTTTCGTAATTTCGTAATCTACGTGTTAGTACTATTTACCATGTTTGCAACTTTTAAATTTCATGGTTAGGTTTAATTAAATAAATTGCTATAGGAAACCCCGTTTAATTCATAACTTTCGTGTTTTAGCTCCGCTTTTTTCGTGAACTTCGCGTTGACGTGATCGTAGCGAGACATAGAAACTTTTCATAAACATTTTATCTTGTTTTTTTCTTTGTTGGTGTCTTGTTCTAACCATAGGATTGTTTGCTTTGCATGAATGCCTTTGGAATGTTGTATGTTGCCGTGTTGGTCGGCGTTCAGACGGTGAGGAGAACGTTGGAGACCAAGAGTTCTTCGACGACCAGCAGGACCAGCAGGAGTTTGCTAACCAAGGCAAGTATAGCATGGGATCTACCTTGATGCTCATTCACCTTTATTAATTACTCATTTGCATGTGTCTAATTTTGATACCCGTAAGGACATCCTAGTGATTGATTACCCTGTTCCTTGTCTCCTATGGGTTATATGCACATGGGTAGTTTGCTAGCGCTCAAAGTAACTATACATGATCCACATGATGAATGATGGTTCTATGGAAACTAAAATTGTAAAATTTGTTTTAAACAAGCTGAATTATAGGGCGATGGAGCTAATGACTTTCGATCATGATGCTCTCGGCCTCCATAGGACTTATCTGTCGGCAAAAGTTGGGACCGACAAAGGCAAACGTGTGAGGTCACATGGCTCGACTTTAGCTCAATAGTAGGACCTTTTCTAGCTTGTTAGAGGTTACCTTTATGGCTAAAAGGGGCTTGCCACGTTGGGTATAGGCCCCGCCTCTGTTCCTATGTGTATAGCCGCTGATGGATATGTGCCATAGGAAAGGGGGTTTACATCTCGCCTACCAAGGGAAACCTAGCGGCCCTAACTTGTTAGAGAAACCTATGAAATGGCTTCATAGTGTACCTTGCCCGCTCACCTTGGTAGTGATATGAGAGTAATTACTTGGGACATATGGGAATCACGCATCATGGTGAATGTGCACCACCCTGCGAGAGGGTAACAAAAGCTATTATAACATTGTATGTGCTCACAGTCCTGAGCGGCCCGAAAAACTCATGTAATAATTGGTTACTCATTGTTGTTCGATTATGATGGTATATGATGATATGATCCAAATGATCTTTGATATCCGATTAAGTGGGTTTAAATGGGAGCTTAAGCATAACTTAATAATACTTGATAATAAAATCTTGACTTACTAAAAGTGCTAAGCTGCGGTAAACCGGTGTCAACCTTTTGAGCTTCATAACCCCATGTTAACTTGTTTAAATGCGGAAGTAATTACAACATTTACTTTCTATATTTGGATAAAAATCCGGATGGGTCTGAGATGACAACGTGTATGAAGAGTTTAGGAGGATTATTAGGCTTGTGGTCAACAGGTTGACCGTCCACGTGTTGGAGCTTCCCACGTGAGAGCTATCTTTTTATTTTCCGTTGTGTTGTGTAAGACTAAGTTATGTTATTAATCGTGATGTAAGAGACCGTGTGATGATACTTTATGTAATTTGTAAACTTATGTGTGTGGTGATCCACAGGCACACATGAGCTTTATGCATTCAATTTTATCCTTAAAATTGGGTGTGACAAAATATGTACCTGCATAGGGATCTGTATGCACTTCAATGCTCTAAAAGCGAATACAAGAACAGAGATTTGCCAGCCCATGCAGCAGTGACACGAACCTAAATATTAACATTTACAGGTAAGCATAACTGAGAGAGAGGAGAAGGAAGGGAAGAAAGGGAGGATATCATACTGGAGTTGATGAATTATGTGTATTGAACTCAATGGCATCTATGAACTTGCCTGGTAGGCTAGAGCTGCATGAGAAAACAGTGCATCACGCACTATTAGTAACTTAACAAAAATGCTTTGAGTTTAGCATTTTTTAGGAGAGAGGCTGCAATGCAATCACAGTTGTGAAAATTACCTTGACAATATCTGAGGAAAACATGCAACAATGCCAATAGCTCGATTACGCAGCTGATCTTACACTAGGAACCATATCATTTAATGCCGCATGAACCTAGACAAGAACATTTCAATACACAATATACAATGTTTCTGAACAGGGTAAGAAAACACAATCAGATACAGAAATAGACTAATGAGATTCCTGACTTTACAGATGAGGAGGTCACATAGTCTCTTTTATTTTCTAGCAGGGAGAAGAATACATCAGAAGTCATGCCAGCAAAGCATGTGAGGGATGCTGTCCTGACCTAGAAATAAACAGATGCTTTATCAGTCCAGGAAAACACAAACAAATAGGTCCTAGTGCACATCTAGCTTTCTAAGAAGTCAATCAATCCTAAAGCTTGATTAAGTTTATAAAAAACTAGTATCAACATTTATGTTTACAAATAGGTTTATATGAAAATATATTTCATGATTAATCTAATGATACTTATTTTGTATCAATAATGTGTCTTTTTTATAGATATGGTCAAACTTGAAATTGGTGGATTGCTTGGAAAACAAGATGTGCACTCTTTTTGGGAAGTAGGGAGTATAAACAATAGCATAAGCACGATGTCCATTCAACACTTTGATGATTATAAATTAGCTGGCTTCTTTAGGTTAAGTGGCAGCCATTTGTTGCCATTCTGCTTCATTAAGTTAGGAACATAGCATCAATAACTTAGACTATTGATGAACAATGAAATCTCATGGATGTTTTACTGCAAATAACAAAAGAAAATGCAGAATACAGGTTCTAGAGTGGTAAAATACCATAGCAGAGCCATGGGATAATCCCTGAGGGAGATGAGTCTCTATCACCTCGATCCAACGGCTAGTTCAAGTGTTATGTCCAAAGAGCAATTCTGTGATGATCCAGCAGCTTCCATTTCAAAGTGAGGTGCAGACTTAATAGTTTTATTTATGGTACAGTCAGAAATTTGCTGAATATCCAGCAATCTGCATTCTTTGATGTCATCTGCTCCTTTGAATCCAGATGAAACACGCAGACATTCATCCATTACCTGAAAGGGAGGGGGGAAATCTTAACCATATATAAATGTATAAATGATAAAAAAGGTTATTTACAGTACATCCATCACTAAAAGGAAATGGTCTACTCACACTACTGACTCAATATCTATGTCAATAATAGCATACCAATACATAAAAAATGGAAAAGGATAAAAGCACCAGTACATGCTGCATAAAGCAATCAAGTTCATAAGAACATGAGCATGAAAATTATACAAGCATAGACACAATGCAAACAATGGAAGTCTAATGTTGGATGAAAAAGCTTGTGTATACATACAACTTCTATGTTATATCATATGCAGATTAATACAACTTAAAGGTTGATAGTAGCGCAACATCCATAGTTTATCGTGGCTTTCCTAAAGGAGTTAGGGTTGAAGTTCAGAAATGCACAGCGGACACAAAATGTGATATAGCACAAAAGTACAGATTGTTAAGCAATATCACAGAAAACATTACCTTTATTCCAGCCACAAGACATCTTTCCTTGATTGATGATTCTTCTTTGGGTCCAGAGGGCCCAAAGTTAGCATCATACTTTTGGTCTTCAAAGCTTTGTATTTGCAACAAATTAAGAACGTTGTCTCAAGTTTTTTTCCCAAATCATGTTTGCACAGCTTGGGTAGTTGTGAACCGCTGATCTCAGCACCTGAGCACACATAAAAGGTGGATGAATTATGGACAAGAATGTCGACTTGTATGCAAAGACAACTAATATACATATGGAAAAATGCATTTTGTAATTTGCGATAAGCCCTACAAGGATGCTGGTGCACAGCAATTTATTCCTATGGCTAAAGCCCACATACATAGGAAATTTATGTTATGGTATCTCGATTGGTGGTCCATATGTTCTTATTCATCATGCCTGGACTTGTATCTTCAGTTGATGCAACAGGTGGTTGTCGAATGAAATATCATCATTTAAATTGTACAGACATGGAAAAGGACAGAATGTTACTTTTATTTAAAAAAAGGATGAAGCTCAACTTTCCTGAAAGCCCATTAAAATCAAAAAATACAAACAAGATAACCAGCATACAACTTAGAAGGATGATACAATAGTTTTCAACAGCGCCAGTGGTTATAATAATAAGACCATAATATAGGAAAAGCTTATAACAAGGGGCCCGGAGTAGAGGGGAGGGAGCGGCGACACTTAGCAATGGAAATACATGATATGTCAACAGTCAAGTCTGTCAGACAGTTACTGGACAAACAAATGCAAAAGCAATCTGTAAGATTCACTGAATCAGAATGACAACTTGCCTGGAAAGCTCCATGTCTAACACTGTAATACATTTCCTCCTCTATACAATGAAGAAGAATAGCTATAACATTTAATTCTTCCTGATCATGTGATGGTCCTGAAAAGCCCATATTGATACAAAATGTGATAGCTTAGTACTTTTCAAACCCTTTTGAATAAGAACAGCTTTTGCTTGCCTTTTAAGAAGACAATACAGTAGATTTGTGCAGTATAAATGATGAAAAAATAGAAAACCAAGGAAGAATATTATTTAAATTCAGGATTACAAGGCCTAACCAACACAGCAATCCTCAGAGAGAACCACAAAGACATCCAAAGTTGGTGGCACTTTTGAAAATGCTGTCTCCAAACAACTTAGAACATTAACCTGTTGTGCACTCATGTAAGGAACAGGGCACCCAAGACCACTGGTTCTTCAATAAAGGAATTAACCAAAAAAAAAAAAACTAACCAGCAAGGCATAATGTTCAGTATTGTTTGAGTGCTTGTCCAGTATTCTACTGCACAATACTTTAATGATTGTTGGCAACAACTCCTTTGGCATCCGAGTGTACCTGTTTGTCTAACATATTATTAATTATACAAAATCGAGTAGAGAAAATAGAAAACAGGCGTGTCAAGATCATCACATGTGTAGCAGATATCAAAAGAATGAGAAATCTGAACAATGCATAAGCAAAGTAGCTTGCAGGTTTCACGCTGTATCAAGTATAGTGCTCCTGCAAATCAGAGGGAGCCAAAAATGTAAAATGCAAAACCTCAACAGATCTCTTACAAGTGGAGGGATCTAGTTAATTGATCACAGATGGATAGGAGAAATGGCTGAACAAAAATATTTCAAGTTCCACCAAAATAAAGGGACAAAATGCTGGGATTTTAGTGCTCAGCTGTAGAAATGAGGCTATGGATAACTTAAGTACTTAAATAAGTTAATAGTGGTAGTGATAGTGATATGAAAGATCTGTTCTAGAGTGCTTTTTGGTGTGAAGGAGCTCATATTTTTTTTAAAGTGGATAACATAAGTATCTGGAACTTGTGGGCCCAAAAAAAAACATCTAATCTGGTGTGGCCCATTGTTCCTAGTCATAACAAAAGTTTCAGCTCAGCTGAGTACACAAATCACTGCTCACAAATTGGATCAAGCAAGTTCAGACCAGAAGCAAATTACTGGAGATGTTCAGAAGACTTCAACCAGAGTTTACTGTGTACTGAGGTTGGGCATCAACAAGCTTAATGTAGCAACCCACGTATTTGCTTTATGGACCCTGACACCGGTTACTGTGTTTTTCTTTGAGACATACCTCTTCTAACTGTTTTAGCTTGTGTAACAGATGCGGACAGGTTTGAGAGCCAAGAGGAACATAAGAATTAGAATGATACGTAAACAGATGCCCGAACCAGGAAATTGAGACCAGGCACCACTGAGTTTCTCCTGATTATTCTTTCCTTGATTCCAAAGAGATGACCAGTTGGCATATAGATATAATAGATGCAAGGTAATCTTTGGCCCTATATGACTTTGGGGTCATGAGTTCATGACCCAACATCTAACAAATTAACAGCCCTATCTATCTGACCTGGCGTGTAGAAGCTATGACCACAACAACTATAGGGGTTGTTTACTTGTTTTCCATAAAAAAGTAATAGAGGTTAGCACAAAATCCTGCTGCTACAGTGGTGCTCCTTGGGCACATACAACCACCAGTCAGCATGTCATGACAGCAGAGCTGAGCATAGTTGGTATTAGGTAATGGTGCAATCAATTACTTTAGGATATGATTTTCTATTTGGAGCAACAGTTGTCAACCACAATCTCCGGTGGTAAAAAAAGTCCAAGATATTATAGTATTGGATTCTGAAAATATCAAGTAACTCCCCTACCTGTATGCAGTTGCATCAATATTTGACCAAGTGAGGAGAAGATAATGTGGTGAAGATCACGCTTGGGCGACTCCTTGTACTCTGCAACTTGTATCAAAACTAATGCTTGCCCTTCCAGCATGGAAGCAATGGTTGATGCTGCCTCAACACGTACCTGCGCATATTTAATTCAGGCCATATAGATGGTGTACATTAGAGTTTATAAACTGAAAATTAACAATTTGATGTGACTATAAATTGCATGTTCCATCAAATTCGAAAAACGGTGAAAAGATATTTAAATTGAGAAAGTATCATATAGAGAAATTCCATAGTGCCTGCCCACTCGGTCAAACATAGGAATCACATTCAGACTAAGTTTGCTGTACAAAATTACATCTATTTGACGGAGGAGATCAAGGAAAAGGTGAATGCAAAAGTAAAGTTTGGATTAAGTGCATCATTTATCAATTTGGTTACTACATTAGAATTTCCTATTTCCATAAAGCACATAAGTCATAATGGCATTACGGCAAATAAATGCCTTCATTCGCACAGTTCAGAAAGCACAGCTTTGTCAAATGCAGAATAACTAGAAAAAAGATTGTATAATGATGATTGTGCATAAATTTGAAACTTCAAATCAGGATATATGTATGTAATTGAAGACTTGTACCTTTGTTATAGGATCAAAAAAGCAAGCATGTCATCAGAGTTGCTTTGATATTTCCTGTACAAGCAACAAAAAGTAACATCAGATGATGTTAAGGTGTAAGAAAAGCTGTAGTGTTGTATGAGGAAAAGTTTACCTTTGTTGGAGAACATCATTCTCAGGCAAAAGTACTGGCCATTGTGAAGTAAGTAACTTTGGATCATGCACGGCAGATATCCTAAAAGAGGTGAGAACAGGATAGTGAGATGGTTACTTCAACAATATGAGCATGTTGAAATATTTGATGTTGCATTCGATATTTGATATCTCATATGGCATAACTTCAGGAAGAAAATGACATCAATTAGTGGAACTATGCAGATGCCATCGTGAAAGATGAGCTATCAAATAATCATTTTTGAGCTCCACAATTTAATTTAATTTGTAAAATAAAAATCAAATCATAAGTTTTTGAATTGCCATAGGGGAGTTAAGTTGCCCAGGTTATCTAATAGGTCAGACAATTTGCCTTATGAAATCAGTAGATACCTATTAAAGGGTACCACCATCCTTCATATATTCAATAAAAAGAAACAACCATCCTAAAAGTTAACTATGAGGACATATCCCATGATATTTGCTCCACTATACAGCTCAACCTAAGCTGTACAAATGCATAAGGAAAATTTGACTAATGGATGTATCAGAACTAAGAAGGAAGCACGATTCAAAGCATATGTGTAGCTACATGCCTGTACACAAAGGATGGCAGCTAATCTGGCCTTTGAACTCGGAGCGGTCTCCACTTTTTGCATAACCATCACTATCACTCAGGTCTGAGTCTGATGAGCTTATATCATACCGAGAATATTCACTATCTGAATTTCGACCTTCCAGTGAATCATTCTCTCCTCCATCCTTGTTCCTCAAATGAGGTGGTCTATATCGTCCATGTGAAGCTCTGGGTTTTGAATCTGTTCTAGTTTCTTTTGGAGCTAGTGTAGGAGGTGAAATGACCTCAGCCCATATATGAAAAATATTTTGCAGATTTGCCACAAACCCTGCAACCTTGAAGTTTTATGGACATTGTTACAATCAGAAAATACATGTAGAAATTTTATTTAAATGAGAGGACTAAAGTTTTATTTTATACTTACATGCCTAAAAGTGGTCCTTTGGGATCCGCAAGAACCAAATGTGAGACAACGAAGAAAGGAAGTATAAAATCTGTTAAATTAAGTGAGAGTTAGATTTGAATTTACCATTCATTCAATTCACTCTGATCTGTAATCCATGAAATAATAAAAGTACTAACCTTGACATGGGCTTCTCTCTATAACAAGATTCCTTGCTGTGACAAAATCCATAACTTTCCTCAAGACCTAGAAAGTACAAAACTGGAGTTTGGGTTAAAACAGAAGGCCAGTGCACACATTGATAATAAAAAAACTCAATTCAAGCCACAGAACAGATGTGCAATGTGGATCAGGCAGTGCTTGATGTGTTAGCATGTAACAGTGCCAAACATCAGCAGAAGTCTAGGTGATCAGTCACAGATGAAGCTCTAAACCATTGATGAGCGGTTGTGTAATAAATTCTACATTCTTGCAGATTTCTTTTGCTGTGGTACTTGTTGGGTCACTCAATGCCCCATGTCAATGTCATAGCACCAAGCAGAACAACAAAAGATAAGATAAGATCAAAATCACTAACCTCAATGACAGACTGCCACAGATTTTCTGTCATATTTGATGCAACCTTACTCAGTATATATCTTCCACCATGGAAATGCAGATATCTTCATATCCCAAATATTGGAATTTTTACTATTCACAGATCCAGAATTGTGGGAAGAAATGCCAGTGGCATTTGCTGGTTTATCAGAGATGTTCAGTTCAGCTTGCAAGTATGATACAATCGAGGCGAAGCACTGTTAGTGAATGTGAACTTTCAGTTAATGAAACGCTTCTTCCATAATCCTGCTCCAGAACCTGGCCATCAAGAACAGAAAGCATTTAGGAAGAAATATAAGATCATACTCCTTGATGACATTTGAATTAATTATGAATGCAGTAACTTTAGTATCACATACATACAGTAGAACTAAAGGCATTTTCCTTTTCTCCAACGTGTAGGATAAGTGCACATCACTAAAGGCAGATTTTTCAAGAACCATTGAAAGGATTGGAAAATAATAATAATAATAATAATAAAATTGTCAAAAGGCTGTATAGCCCCACCTTGCTTCTCACTTTTTGGCAATTACACCAGCATTTCAGGATTGATGCAGATTATCACTTTCAGTATTAAATTTGGCATTTGCCTCCCTGGACTTTTAATGTAGCCTGACTCATTCACCACTATGCCCTAAAAATTGGCATTTGTTTCCTCTTGATTGAACAATATAGGTGCTAAATTGCTGAAACTTGAGGTGCATGAGGTAATTTGCATCAAATTAAAAGTATGGATGGGAACTGCCAAAATCTATTCATGGGGGTCTGGAGTATCAGGCAAGTACAGGTGGTGCAGCACAATTTCTTTAAGTAGCCATAGAGGTTTGCTTATCTGGAATAAAAGGAAGAACTTCAGCTAAAAAAAGAAGGGCTATGATAGCAAATTCATCATTTAAAAAATCCTTTAGGTAAGGGTATATTATATTGGTATAGTTATAAATGTAGAAGTCGTTGTGCTGACTGTTGATAGAAGCAAGAAAAGAATCAGAAATTTTATGTCACTGAAAGTTCAAGTATTAATTTACATGAATAACTAAGAAAACAGGCCATTTCTTCTTGAATTCAAAGAGCACAAGTGCAGGAACAGTTTCTCAGTAGTATTTTATAATAAATAAAAAACCTAACCTGAGGATATGTAAACATTCAGATGTTGTATTCAATGCAGCTGTCCTACTAGAGGCCCTTCATGCATGTAGCCCTCAATCGAGAGCATTTGACAAGTATGTCAAGAAACTTCAACATTGCAAGACAACCAAGAAGAGTCAATCTCCATATTTGTTTTGCACATGACATCATAAATCTGCAAAAGTACATTTTTTCATGAAAATTAATGCAGATTTTTTCAGTTTATCAAAACAATATAGATCTCACACTGATAGAATATTTGAATCTTATCAGTAGCCTAACCCAATATGATTGGACTAAAAAAATACATGGTGAAACTGAATCGAGCCACATTACACTATAATAGTCGGGTACATATGCATTCCACCATGTCCTGCGATTGCCACCTATAATAGGTCGACGAGCGGCAAGCGCAGAACCATTACCAGGTGGCAGACACTGCGCAGCGCGTCGTCGGCGCCAGGGGGCAAGACGCCACCGCCGCGGCCGTGTCAGCGAACGCCACATCGAGCCCACCTGCACAGAGAGGCGAAACGCCACAGCGAGGTGAGATCGAGCCGAGCCAAAGCAGGGGCGGAGACAGAGGATCAGGAACCGCACCTCGTGAGGGAAGCGCGGCGGCAGACGTGGCGAGCGAGGGCGTGGCCGGGGAGAGGAGGACGCGGCGGGAGGAGCTCGAGGAGGGCCGTGGGCGAGGACGACGGGCGAGGGGACTCGTCGCGGAGGGTGAAACAGCGCGGTGCGCCACGGACGCGCTGCCTCCGGAGGTCGAGGGCGGAGGCCATCATCAGCGCCGCCACCGCCACCGCCAGTGAAGTCATGAGCTTTGCTTTGGCCTTGGGTTTGGGTTTGGTGGCCAAACGCACGAAGAGGAGG